CACAAAGGAAAATAAAAAAAAAAAGAAAGAAAGTCAGAATGAAACTTCGCACTAAATAATTATTTATAAAATAAATGTTTATGAAAAATAACTATATTTTGTTGTTTGAATTATCTACATTGGAATTAACAATTTAACACTAAAACTTATTTGACCATGTGAATTGGAGACTACAAAAAATATTTCATATTCCAACAGAAATCATACGGTAATATATTCCAATGGAAATTCTAACGAATATTCCAATGGTATAGTTTTCGTTGGAATTATTCCAACGAAAATTTCAACGGAACTATTCCGTTGAAATGAGTTAATCCATTGGAATTTATATGTAATTTGATCATTTTAACGGCTATTATTGCAACGATTTTTTACCATAGGAATTTCCATTGGAATATACAATTTCTGTTGGAATTTTTATATTCATCCATATTTCAATCGTTGAAAAATATACCGTTGGAATCGTCAAAATTTAACGGAAATTTAATGAAAACTCATTCCAACGAAATGTTTTTGTTGAAATTTCCGTTGGAATCCACTAAAAAATTTCAATGGAAATAATAGCATTAGAATGTCTATCGGAATTGTCATTAGAATATACTTCCATTGAAATTTTCTATTGGAATTTCATCATACTCTTATAGTGAGAGTGCTTGTTTCCAATAAATAATTATATACATATTTACTTATTACTAATAAAGCATTGTAATTATTATTTTAATGAAAATCTTACATAAAAGTTGACTAAATTTATTTCTATATACATATTTATTGATTACTAACAAACCATTGTGATTATTGTTTTAACGAAAATCTTACATCATTTAGACTCACTTTAGAATACTGAGTTGAGGTGTATATGATCCATTTTTCTTTCATTGCTCCACATCAGGACTTATTTTATTTGTTTAGGAATTCTAATTTTTTTGGATTTTAGAAATCCGAGGATATTGTAATTAGACGTTTTAATACTTTTAAAAGTGTAGATGTTTTCAATTGAGATTTTAAAAAATCATAAAAAATTCTAAAGTGTTTAACTTAATTATTATTGAGATTTATTAGGACTTTAAGATTTACATAAATTTCAAACATATATTACATATGTCAAATCCCACTTTAAACATAAGATATCAAAGGATTTCACTAAAATAAAAAAATAAAATTGAATTTAAAAGTCTTAAATGTCACTTAGAATTCAAATGAATACACTGCTGTAAATCGGGTATAAAACTACACGGAATTCTACGAACTGATATGTAATTTTCAGTTCTTACAAATAATCTAAAATAGAAAATTACAATAGAGCTGAAAAATAAATTACAACTTAGAAAAATAGAAAGATTTTGGCCGAGGCGAGTAAAACTTTTTTCACAAGAAGAATACGCCCCGTGTGGCTGCTAACGGTTCAGGCGTAACTTCCCCAAAGATACAACGGCAAACGTCTCTAAATCTGTAGTACACCAAATTTACGAGCTCCGGCGAACTGGATTGAAGTCGAGAATTGAGTAGTTAAAAAATAGTAATAAAATTATCTCTCTGATATTTTTTCTATATTTTTTCTCACTATTTTTTTTTCTTTCCTTTCTTTTTTCTTTTCCCTTCACTTCTCTTCTTTTCCTTCTCTTCTTGTGTTTCTTTTTCCTTAGCAAAACACTCTCTACTTATAGATGGAAGATTTGGTATGATAATTGAGAATTTATTTAATTGGTTGTGAATTTTTGAGATGGTTTGGAAAATGTGGAGTGTGGATGAGAAAAGTGAATTTTTGGTTGGAAGAAAAATAGAATTTGTTGATCAAATCAACAATTTACACTCAATTTGACGAACAATCCCCCACATGAGTGTAAATTAAAATAGGCTTAATGGCGGGAAAATACACGACCTTTACGTGTTTGGCCATTTAATCACCACCTTTAGACCTTGGCAAATAAATACACGACCTTCACATTTTTGGCAACCCGATACCTGGTTTGGTCTGCCGTTAACGGAAATCCTACGTGGCTTGTAAAACTGACGGACACACCAAACGGGCGTCCCAGTCAGCGCCGAGGTGGCATAGTCGGGTAGTATAAAAGCCAAATGTGCCTCTAATTTTCCCCAAAATCTTCATTCACGAACGAGAACCAAATCGCCCCAATTTTGCGCTGAAATGTCGGCAAGTTCGAGCTCAAATTCAAGGATATTCAAATTAGAATGTGGCTGTGGAGACGAACCAAGTATATTCACATCAAATACCGACCTCAATCCTTGTCGTCGATTTCGACGTTGCATCAACACAGAGGTGAGTTCGATTTCCTGTTGCAATTTGGTGTTTTGATTATGTTTTGTGTCGATATGAGTGCAATTATGCCGATATGACTGCAATTTGGTGTAGTTCTTGTTATTTCATGCGTGGCCGATTTGAGATGAATTGTCCTGTTCAATGTGAAGTGCGAGTTGAATTTGAGGAAATGAACTCAGTTTGAAAATACTAGTTGAATTTACGAGCACAGTTTGAAAAATTTTGGTTTTATGACATGAACTTAGTTTATGGGTTTTCAGATTATGTAATTTGTTCTAATCCTTACTTCTTTGTAAAAGAAACCCTGTAGATACTTTTCTTGGATTGATCCGGAGCTTGGACCATTTCAGAAATCATGTTTTCTGAAACTGAAGGCTGATAAGACATTGTTGGAGGAACGATTAAAATGCAAAGAAGTCACTGTAGTAGCAATGGCTGAAAGGGTCTCATTGAAAAATGATGAACTATTGTATCTTAAATCCAAAGCAAATGACTTGGTGGAGCAATTGAAATGCGAAAAAAATACTGCAGTAGCAATGGCTGAGAGGCTGAAAATGAAGGAGGATGAACTTTTGTGTCTTAAATCCAAAGCAAATGACTTGGAGGAGCAATTAAAATGCGAAGAAAATACTGCAGTAGCAATGGCTGAGAGGCTGGAAATGAAGGAGGATGAACTTTCGTGTCTTAAATCCAAAGTAAATGACTTGGAGAAGCAAGTACAAGTCTTGTCCAAGAGAAACATCTTCAGAAACCGTATTGTGTGTGTGTCAGTTGTGTTATTTGTTGTTTTGCTTTTTTCCTTGGGTAAAGGGGAAAATGGTTGATTGATGTTGAATTAGCTTTAAGTTTTTGTAACTTCATCTCGGTTATGTATTCACAATGAACCATTTCTGATGCTGTCTTTTGGATACTTTGCAGTTGTTATGGAATTTAGTTTTTTGAATCAGCTTATGTTTTATGTAAGTTTATTTCAGTGTATGTGTATGTTGGTGCAATATATTGTATGTTAATATTGACAATGATCATTTTGGCTTATTTTGGTTAGGTTTACAGTTACTTTATTTAACTTCACAACCATGTTATAAGCACAAATCTGTGTACAAGCATATTAAATACCAAATAACTTGAAAATGAAGACATGTTTACTAACAAAAGTCTTGCTGCCATCCTTAGACAATTCAAAGTCAAATCCAATCCAAATTCCACAACCAAAATCATCAAATCTAATCCAAATTCAGAAATTACAACTGCATCTCCAATCCAACAACCAAAAACATAAAAAAACAAGGCAGTTCAGAAACAGCATCCCCAAAACCTAACAACAGTACATATCCATGACAACTAAGGTGAAAAGTTGCAAACACTCTCTTGGGTCCCCTGATCTCTTGGGCAGTTCTTGGATGTTTGTTTCTTTTGTCCATGTGCTGATCTAGGTCTGTTGTTAGGTACAAAGTTAACTCTACTTTGCCCTGGCATCTGATTAAGCAGTTGTGGAACAAATTAAGTAAATTTCTGAAAAATGCATAACAAATTGGCACAGGGAAAAATATGGTAAACAATGATGCATACCCTTATATAAATGTCTCCTGTCTGCTCAGAGACCATCACACCATATCCTTTTTTTGCCTAAAGAATGAAAACAACAATAAGTTAACTAAACTGACATTTAGCTTTATGAAAGAAAATAAAGTTAGTTTTTTTACCATTGCTTTGTCTCTTGCTCTAATAGCTTGCACAGTTTGAGATGATTGTCCAACACTCCTGATCCTGGTATTCTTCCTTATCTGTTGCATAGCAGCTGTGGCTGATCTTGTAGTTGGGGCTGTTCTGGTTGCTCTTGTGACTGTGGTTTCTCTTCTGGTTGTGGTTGCTCTTGTGGATGGGGCTTTTGTTGGGGCTTGTGTTTGTGGTGCTGTTGGTGCTTGTGTTTGTGGTACTTGTGGTGGTGCTGTTGGGGCTTGTGTTTGTCGTGCTGTTGGGGCTTGTGTTTGTGGTACTTGTGGTGGTGCTATTGGGGCTGTTGTTGGGACTGGTTTTGGGGTTGTTGTTGTGATTGGTGTTGGGTTTGTTGGCTGCCAATCTCTTGCAGAAGACTCCACATGTTTCTCCCTTGTCCTTGGTTTCCCCCTCTTTTTCTGCAATTTAACAAGAAGGATATTATCATAATGCATCATAAATGTTCATAAATAAGCACTAACAATAAAACTCACTCTTGTCTGTGCAGGAGCAGCTTCATTGGGGCAAGTCCTGATGTTATGCCCAATTTTCTTGCATTTTTGACAAGTCATTTGTAGTCCAAATCTCCTCAGCTTAGTGTCACTCTTGGCCTCTTCTTCAGGTGCTCTTCTCCTTCTTATTCTAGGTCTACCAGGCATCTTTTTAAATGGAGGTGGCTTGACAGTGGACCCAGATGCATCAGGCCACATTTTAGGTCCATTTAATGGTTCAAGAGAAAAGGAGTATGCTCTCAAATTTCTTTCTACACAGAAGTATGGGCTGACAAAATCCACTACATCCCTCTTCATGTAATGAATTGCAGAACAAGCATGGATACATGGTATACCAGATATATCCCAGCTTCTACAACTACATGTCATGCACTTCAAATCAACTACAAATTGATCATCTGATATGGCAACTTGAAATTTTTCACCCACTGCAGGTTTGGTCACACACAACCTACTACTCAACTTATTTTCCTCAATTTTTTTCCTTATCCTAGGACATATTGTGTCTTTTACTCCACTGGTCAACATAAGTTTGTGATGCTGCCTTTCTATTACATAAGATCTAATACTCTCAAGCATGTCAACAATAGGTTGTTTCCTTGCCTTCACTATGGTACTGTTGAAAGTTTCACACACATTATTAAGTATCATATCACATTTTGGATTCTCAAGGATAAAAGCTTTACAGAACCTGACATTTTCCAGCTTCATGAATTCCTCATAAGCCTCTTTATCCACTACCTTCTTCCCTTCAAGTGCCTCCTTATAGGCTGCCTTGTATGTGCTATGCACTACCCTCCAGAAACAGCTTTTAAGTGCACTGCTTTTGTGAGATTTCTTCCAGTTCATGTACACATGCCGTGCACAGTTTCTATGTTCTGCATGTGGTGAGAGATCCCTTATAGCAGCAATGAGTCCCTACATAATGAGTTAAAGAAGAACAAATATTAGAGACAAGACAAATAAAGAAATATATATATAAATGCATGTAATATGATTCAAAAACTAACCTTTTGCTGATCACTAATAAATGTCCATCCAAGTCCATCTGATATCCCCAAATCTTGAAAAAGAATATCTAGAAACCATTTCCAATTGCTCTCATTCTCAGAATCCACAACTGCCCATGCCAAGGGAAATATCTGGTTGTTCCCATCCTTGCCAACATCACACAATAAAATACCTCCTAAAAAGGTCTTCAAGAAACACCCATCAAAACCAATTATTGGCCTACAGCCTTGCAAGAAACCTTGTCTGAGTGCACTAAAACCAACATAAAAACCTTTAAATACACTGCCACTCTCCAAGACAAGCTGAAATGTGCCATTTCTATCAACCCTTTGAAGCTCTGCAATGTACCTCCTTAGTTTTCCATAGTGCTCCTCCTCTGTACCTCTAAGCAGTTCAAGAGCCCTAGTTTTTGCTTTGTACAGTTTCCACCTAGAGGGTTGCACACCATATTTTTCACTGATAGAATCCTCTAAGTCAGAAATTTTCATCTTAGGCTTCTTCCTAATCATAGGTAGATACTCCCCAGCAACCCATGAAGCAGTTGCTTGTTTAGTGTTCAAGTCCCTATGGCAGCTATGGGTATTGACAAAGGTCTTGATAGCCACACTACCTTCACCTTTTATCAGACTAGCATAAAGCCTCCATGGACAACCCACTTCACACCTAGCTTCAACCTGACTTGAACTACTTCTGAAGAAACTTATGTTGCAGCCATTATAAATTGCATAACTCTGAATTGCCTTCTTACATTGTCCAATGCTTTCAAACCTCATCCCAAGCTGAAATTGAAATGCCTGCAGATCTCCCTTACCATCATAAACAATTTTCTTTTTCTTAGGCCTTGCTTCATCATCATCATCATCAAAACCCTCACCACTAGATGAATCAGTGTTCACATTCCCTTCAGAATCTTCATATTCTGACTCAATATCTCTTGCAGGTGTTATGCTGTCATCAGCCTCATGATGTGCAGATGGCTGTGCACAGGAAATGTTTGCATCCCCAGCATCTTGTGACTTTCTAGAGTTTAAAACTTCTCTCCTGGCCTCAAGATACTCCTCATCATCTGTCCCTAAATCTTCCTCAGACAAACCATCATCACTTGAAGATTCTCCAGATGGTTCATAGTCCTCATCCTCACTTTCATCTAAAGCAAACTCAACCAGCTTGTCACTAGTATCAACCAGCTTCTCACTAGTATCCTTTGCTTGGTCTACCTCAGCAACTTCAGATACCCTATTCCTAGATCCATTTTCTTGTTGACACACAACAACCCCACACGGTTTCTTTAAATGTTCAGTTTGCACATATATTTCAACATATCTTTTGTTTCCCTGCATTTGACCCAAACAGTCCATAACACCAGCATCATCTGTTATATCTTTAAATTCACGTGTTGTCCGATGCTTATAACATATTCTACCCCAGTTTTCATATCCCAACTTCGTTATTTCATCTTCAATGTCAAAATAACCTAGCCTATCTGCATCCAACCCAGTAATCGTGGCAACACAATCACCATAATACGCCTCATACCCATCGACAGTCACAAATCTACCCTTGTGATTGATAAATAATAGAAAGAAATCGTTGTAAATTGGAAAAATCGGAAAAGATTAACAATCGAACCCTAAAAAATATAAAATCAAATTAAACATTTCAAGAGAGAAAGAGCAGTTACCTTGCAACCATGACGTCAAATCGATGATATGGAAGACACACCCTCTGAATTCTGGAGCAAATCGATGATATGGAATACATACCCTTTGAATTTCCGAGCAAATCGATGATCTAGGGTTTCAACAAGCAGTGAAATTAGGGTTCTCGTTCGTGAATGAAGATTTTGGGGAAAATTAGAGGCACATTTGGATTTTATACTACCCGACTATGCCACCTCGGCGCTGACTGGGACGCCCATTTGGTGTGTCCGTCAGTTTTACAAGCCACGTAGGATTTCCGTTAACGGCAGACCAAACCAGGTATCGGGTTGCCAAAAATGTGAAGGTCGTGTATTTATTTGCCAAGGTCTAAAGGTGGTGATTAAATGGCCAAACACGTAAAGGTCGTGTATTTTCCCGCCATTAAGCCATTAAAATATATATACTAGTGTGCTCAATCCTCGCAAACATCAGAAAAGGTAGCTTTGGGCTTTGAACCTTTCGTTGTAAACATCATCGGATGTACTGGCAGATTAGTAGACATGATGCCTTGAACTATTCCTCCATAGTACACCGAGACAATAGCATTTACACAATATAGTTTTCACTCCATTCCGTTCTATGGTTGTGTCCGTTTTGGTCATGGACAACACAATGGATTCATAAGTGTTTACATTTGAAGCGGCCCACACTTCACACTTATATAGGTGACCTCCCTATCAAGAATATCCTGTCATACTCCACCTTTACAAGGTTAGGGATTCATTAAAAGTCCATATGACTTACCCTCACCACAATCAACAGGTCATCTTGCACTTGGAGTGCTCTAGGGAATAGCTTTGGACATTTATATGTTCTAAGTGCTCAACTGAATTTTCATTGCTTAGTTTTACCTTTGAACCAAGTTCGTGGGATCTCCACTCAGTATGGTAGGGTTACCACTATGATCATTCTTTACATTGTGGCTTTTTAAGCCCATTCCCTCTAGCAAACTTTCCAATTGATCTCTATTCAAGCCTTTCGTCAAAGGATCAACTAAATTTTTCTTAGACTTCACATAGTCAATGGAAATAACACCATTTGATATCAATTGACGTACGGTATTATGTCTACGACGAATATGTCTAGACTTACCATTATACAAGTTACTTTGCGCCCTACCTATAGTAGCTTGGCTATCACAGTGAATTATCACAGGCGGCAAAGTCTTATTCCAACATGGAATATCGGATAAAAAATTTCTATGCCACTCGGCTTCTTCACCAGCTTTATCTAAAGCGATGAACTCCGATTCCATCGTTGACCGAGCTATACACGTTTGTTTTGTAGATTTCCACGAAACTGCACCTCCTTCAATACAGAAAACATTTTCTCTAGTGGAGCGAGAATCTCTCGAATCTGATATCCAGCTTGCATCACAGTACCCTTCAAGTACGGCTAGATATCTCGAGTATTTTATCCCGTATTCAAGGGTGTATCTCAAGTACTTAAGTACCCTTTTCAACGCATGCCAGTGCTCATGACTGGGATTGCTCGTAAATCTACTCAACTTATTCACCGGATAGGCGAAGTCTGGTCGTGTACAATTCGTCAAGTACATCAGACTCCCTATTATCCGTGAATATTCCAACTGAGCCACTGGTTGACCTTTATTGGCTACCAGATTAATACTAAGATCAAGGGGTGTCTTACACCTAGACTGTGTACCGTGATAGGTATCACATTTCTTGAGCACTTTCTCTACATAATGAGATTGTGACAAGACAATTCCATCTTGAGTTCTGATAATTCTTATTCCAAGAATAACATCAGCCAAACCCATATCTTTCATGTCGAAATTTTCTTCAACATTCTTTTCGTATCCATGATCACTTCATGGTTACTCCCCATAATCAACATATCGTCTACATATAGACATACAATCACAAATGTATTTGATGTACTCTTGACATAAACACATTTGTCACATTCGTTGATTTTGAACTCATTTGACAACATCACATCATCAAATTTCAGATGCCGTTGTTTCGGAGCTTGTTTCAGTCTGTACAATGACTTGATCAATCTACACACCTTTTCTCTCTTGTCCAGGTGAACAAACCCTTCAGGTTGTTCCATGTATATTTCTTCTTCCAATTCACCATTCAAAAATGCTGTCTTGACATTCATTTGGTGAATCTCAAGATTGTGCAAAGCAGCAACCGAGAGAAGCACCCTTATCGACGCTAAACGCGTAACTGGTGAATAGGTATCAAAGAAATCATACCCTTCCTCTTGTTTAAAGACTTTGACCACCAGTCGTGCTTTAAACTTATCAATCGATCCATCAGCTTTATATTTTTTCTTTAGGATCCATTTACACCCTAAAGGTTTACAACCATCAGGGAGATCAACCAACTCCCAAGTATGGTTTTGCATAATAGGCTCGATTTCTCTATTAACAGCTTCTTTCCAGAGTGGTCCATCTGGGCTAGACAGAGCTTCCTTAATGGAGCTCGGTTCATCGTCCAACATGTACATAATAAAATCAGGTCCAAACGTTTTCATCGTTTTTACCCTTTTACTACGTCTCGGTTCTTCATCAGTACCCTCTGGTACAGAACCACTAACAGTTTCATACGTTCGTTTATTAGAACTAGATTTTGCCCTTTCCTTCATAGGAAAAAAATTCTCAAAGAATATAGCATTCCTTGACTCAATCGTGGTACCAACAGACACCTCTGGATTTTCTGATTTATGAACCAGAAATCTATATGTTGTACTATTGTACGCATATCCAATAAATACATAATCGACCGTTTTTTGCCATATTCGCATTTGTTTTGGTTCAGGTACTGAAACCTTAGCCAAACACCCCCACACTTTCAGGTATTTATAAGACGGCTTACGATTTTTCCACATTTCGTAAGGAGTCTTATCTTTCCCTTTAGGTGGTATTTTATTCAGGATATGATTTGCTGTTAAAACAGCTTCCCCCCACATGTTTTGGGGTAGTCCCGAATTTATTAACATGGCATTCATCATTTCTTTTAAAGTATGGTTCTTGCGTTCAGCAACACCGTTCGACTGTGGAGAATAAGGGGCCGTCGTTTGATGAATTATGTCATATTCAGAACATATTTGTTCAAAAGGAGCTACATACTCCTCACCCCTATCACTTCGGATTATTTTAATCCGTTTGCCGAGTTGGTTTTTAACTTCGGTCTTATAGATTTTAAAAGCTTACACAACCTCATCTTTGCTTCTTAACAAACATAAATAGCAAAACCTTGTGCAATCATCGATAAAAGTAATAAAATATTTTTTACCTGTTCTTGTTTGCACACTTTTCATATCACATACATCAATATGGATCAAGCCTAATGGTTCAGTACTCCTTTCCACCGAGTGAAAAGACAACTTAGCCATTTTTGCTTCAATACAAATTTCACATTTCTTTTGTGATTCAATTTTAGAATTAGGAATTAATTCTAAATTTATTAACCGTTTAATTACATTTAGATTTACATGTCTCAATCTAATATGCCATAAATCAGAGCACTCAACGGTATAAACAGACATAGACTTTTCATTATCATTTAAAACGGTTACACGGCTCACGGCCGTTACATTCATTTTGAACATACCCTTGTCGAGATAGCCACGACTAAGGAAAGTTCCAAACTTGCTAAGAACAAACTTCTTAGCATCAAATACCAGCCTAAATCTATGCTCAACAAGAAGAGATCCGGAGACCAAATTCTTGCAGATGTCTGGGACATGTATAACATCCTTAAGCTTCAACTCCTTTCCAGAAGTAAGCTTCAGCACCACAGTGCCCACTCCAGCCACATCAGTCGTGGAGGAGTTTGCCATGTAAAGTTTCCGACTCTTAGCAGGAGTGTATTCAGAGAGCACCTCCTTATCAGAACACACATGACGAGTGGCATCAGAGTTACCCTGCTCTAGCAGGTTAGCAGGGCCATGTTCAGCCACAAGGGCACTCGGTTGCCCTTTCTTTTTCCTAGCCTTTTTAGGCTTCTTGCAGTCCTTTGCCATATGGTTCGGTTTTCCACAATTGTAGCAGGTTCCTGTAAACTTCCAAACCTTGGCAGGCTGTTTCCCCTTGTTGAGGGGCTTTCTCTTGCTCGAGTTACCCTGCTCTAGCAGGTTAGCACGAGCCTCCATCATCGGGGTTTTCCCTGATGAATTATGGTTGTCTTCATCAATATGAAGACGTACCACCAAGTCTTCAAGACTCATTTCCTTCATCTTATGCTTGAGGTAGTTCTTGAAATCTTTCCAACCCGGCGGCAGCTTTTCAATCACAGCCGCAACTTGGAATGACTCGCTCAGAGACATTCCCTCAGCATGAATATCGTGCAAGATAAGTTGAAACTCTTGCACTTGGGACACGACGGTCTTCGAGTCGACCATCTTGAAGTCAAGAAACTTGCCGATGACGAATTTCTTCGCCCCGACATCCTCAGTCTTGTACTTCTTCTCCAATGCAGCCCAAAGCTCTTTGGCAGAACCAACAGAGCTGTACACATTGTACAACTCATTACTAAGTCCATTAAGGACATATTTACGACAAAGGTAATCACTTTGTCCCCAAGCATCGTACGCAACGCGTAGTTCAACATTGGTCTCGTTTTCAGCAATAACAGGGGGTTCGTCCTTCAGGTATTTCACTAAACCCAAAGTGGTCTGGTAAAAATGCATCTTTTGTTGCCATCTTTTGAAGTCAAGCCCGTTGAATTTTTCCGACTTCTCCGCAGTAGGTACATGGACAACAGATACAAGATGATGAACAACATGGTTGACCGAATGCTGCTGTTGAGAACCTTCTCCGGTGGATGCCATCAGCTCAGTAGGTCGAATTATTCTTCTTGCGATTGTTATAAATAGGGTATAAAATTACACGGAATCCTACGAACTGATATGTAATTTTCAGTTCTTACAAATAATCTAAAAATAGAAAATTACAATAGAACTAAAAAATAAATTACAACTTAGAAAAATAGAAAGATTTTAGCCGAGGTGAGTAAAACTCTTTCCGGAAGAAGAATACGCCCCGTGTGGCTGCTAACGGTTCAGGCATAACTTCCCCAAAGATACAACGGCAAACGTCTCTAAATCTGTAGCACACTAGATTTATGAGCTCCGGCGAACTGGATTGAAATCGAGAATTGAGTACTTAAAATATAATAATAAAATTATCTCTCTGCTAATTTTTCTATATTTTTTCTCACTATTTTTTTTTCTTTCCTTTCTTTTTTCTTTCCCTTCACTTCTCTTCTTTTCCTTCTCTTCTTTGGTTTCTTTTTCCTTAGCAAAACACTCTCTATTTATAGATGGAAGATTTGGTATGATAATTGAGAATTTATTTAATTGGTTGTGAATTTTTGAGATGGTCTGGAAAATGTGGAGTGTGGATGAGAAAAGTGGATTTTTGGTTGGAAGAAAAATGGAATTTGTTGATCAAATCAACAATTTACACTCAATTTGACTAACATACACCTACTTATTATATTACTACACCAACTAGAAAAATTACACTTAGAACACTGTGACTGCTATAGTTTCCCGAGCTTAAGTATGAATTAAATATGAGTTTATATTGTTTCAAAGTAGTAAATGTAGATCAGAACTTTAATCCTTGTCTATAGGACTTCTAATATTATAAATTAAGTAACCAACTTAAACTATTAATGTGCTTTAAAATATTTTTAATTTTTTTTTTCTAATTTAATGTATGATGTATTAAATTAATGATTTTCAATTATTTTTTATTAGCATTCATATTGCATATATAAAATAAAAAAATAATTTTATCTTTACAAACAAGTTTTATGGATAATTGATGTCATTTTAAATAAATAATAATGTATTTTATCGTTGAAGTATATTAAAAATTGAATTTTTGGCGGGGCTCGAGAAAACCAAATACTATGAAAATGCGTCAACCATGAAAAAAAGGTTATTATAATTTGAACACTTTTTTCAACTTTAAAACCTAAAATTAGAGCACAAAAATCACGTTGGGCAACTGTTGAGGAAGAATATGGACGGTACCTGTGCATATATAAACCGACAAACAGCTAAACGTATATGAAGATATAAAGGAACTAAAATTGTGGAAATAATCCATCATATTATCTTCTCGCTTTTCATCGATCCAAATTGCATTCCACCGAATACACAAATACATTTTAGATTTGAGTCCACACGTTTTGTTTCTCATTCCTCGTGAGAGAGGAGCTTAAAAAAAAAGGTAAAGTCTTGGCTAATACTTTTCGTACTGGGCCGAGATTTTGCCTCATTTTTTTTGTTCTCCGATAATGGCCAGTTGGGTTCTATCGGATTGTGGCTTGAGGCCGCTCCCAAGAATTTACCCCAAACCAAGAACTGGCCATGTCCAATCTTCATTGAATTTCAACCCCCAAAATCTGAGATTCTCGAGAACAATTCAGGGGATTAATTCTTTCTCAAGTTTATCAATTGGGATTGATAGAACCAGGAGATGGGGTTTGAAAGTGAGTGCACCTTTGAGAGTACAGCAAGTCGAAGAAGGGAGAAATGAAGAGGGCACAACGATTAATCAAGTCGAAGAAGAGTATTTTGACTCTGGGGCACCGCCTCCGTTTAAGCTGTCTGATATTAAGGCAGCTATTCCTAAGCACTGTTGGGTAAAAGATCCATGGAGGTCTATGAGCTATGTTATGAGGGATGTGGCTATTGTTTTTGGATTGGCTGCTGTGGCTGCTTATCTCAACAGTTGGGTTGTTTGGCCTTTGTATTGGTTTGCTCAGGGGACTATGTTCTGGGCTCTCTTTGTTCTTGGCCATGACTGGTAAATTATTCTTTCTTTCCAATAATAATTTATGGGAAGTTGTTTAATTTGTTAATTGGAGTTTTTATCATATTTTGTGATGTATGTTCTTCACTATGGCTAGCTCTATTTTTCCTTTTGCTATTTTTCAAGAAAATTGTTATTAATTTATATCGGGATATGTTTGGATTGTTAATTATGATGCTCTTTAATTATGATGCTCTTGAATTATGCAGTGGGCATGGGAGCTTTTCAAACAACCCCAATTTGAATAGCGTAGTCGGTCATCTTCTACACTCTTCGATTCTTGTCCCTTACCATGGATGGTAAATTTTCAGTAGTTACCTGTAGAGTTTTCATATCTCGAGGCTAAAGGAATCTGAACATCTTTTTGGTTTGTTCAAATGAATGCAGGAGAATTAGCCATAGGACACATCATCAGAACCATGGACATGTTGAAAATGACGAATCTTGGCACCCAGTAAGTCATTTCTTACTTAGTAATTGCATATTATGTCGGAGTCTTGACAGCAAATCTTGAATAAGGATAACTTGTCTGCAAAAAATGACAGAAATTGATGCTGCTTCTCTTTGTTCTCGTTTAAAATTTCAGTTATCTGAGAAGATTTTCAAGAGTTTAGATAATGTCACCAAGAAATTAAGGTTCACATTGCCTTTTCCTCTACTGGCATATCCCATCTATCTGGTACGTTTCTTCCTTCTTTATAACAAATCCTGACTACATAAACTGGCCTTGAGATTTAATATAGGTACCAAGAAATACCTAATTATTTTCTAAACTTCACCCTCTTTTTATCTGTTCTTATGTTCATCCATCTCGTTTGTGCTTTGAATACCAAATTTTGCTTTGTTTGATAGAGATCATCCCAATATAAAATAAAAAAATAAATAAATTAGGGCCAGTCTTGAAACAAAATTGTGCCAACAAAATGAGAATTCAATGAGGCGTATATTTGTAGGTCTGAAATATAATTGTTCTGTTCTGTATTGAGGCAAATTCTAACTTGTCTTGTAAATCTTGTTCACTAATATGTACTGTAACTAATGACAGTGGAGTAGAAGCCCTGGGAAAACGGGATCTCATTTCCACCCAGACAGTGACTTGTTCGTTCCAAATGAGAGAAAAGATGTAATAACATCGGCTCTTTGTTGGACAGCTATGGTGGCATTGCTTGCTGGTTTATCATTTGTAATGGGTCTTGGTCAAGTGATAAAACTGTATGGCATACCTTATTTGGTTAGTAATGTTAAACAAGCTTTTAGTATCCATTTGTCCTGAGTTTTTAATTTCTTGGTAAAATATTTGGGAATTCGAATTTCGGCCTGCAGGGTTTTGTAATGTGGCTGGACTTGGTCACATACTTACATCACCATGGGCATGAGGAAAAGCTCCCTTGGTACCGTGGGAAGGTAAAACTCAACTCTTGTGATTATAAGAATTCATGCATTTTGAAGAATTGAAAATGACAATTAATTATTTTTTAAAATAAGAAATTGGCTAAGCTGAGTAAATATTATTTGTAGACAAAGGACATTATTGTAATATAAGCTAAAATTACCTAAGAATCAGATTTTTTTTCCCTTTCAGAGTACTGCAATTGCTCGCTTTTCTTCAATGCCTTTTGAAGTAATTTTTCAGAATGCTTTGTTGTTTTAACTTTGTTTTTTACGAAATAGGAATGGAGTTATCTTAGAGGTGGACTTACGACCCTTGATCGTGATTATGGTTGGATTAATAACATCCACCACGACATTGGGACACATGTGATTCACCACCTCTTCCCGCAAATCCCTCACTACCACTTGATAGAAGCTGTGAGTTGCAATTTTATCTCGACAAGATTCGTAGAAAAATATCAAATTGATAACTCGAGCCTTGATTTTCCAAATGACTTGTATTTATGCAGACTGAAGCAGCGAAACCTGTTTTAGGTAAGTACTATCGAGAGCCACAAAAATCAGCCCCCCTTCCATTGTACTTGCTGGGAGTCCTTTGGAGGAGTATGAAGAAGGATCACTATGTGAGTGACAATGGTGATATTGTTTACTACCAAACAGATCCAGAACTCAGTGGAGCTAAAAACCCATAGAAAAATGGCATTGAGTAGTTATTACATATATGAAAGTTATGAATTCTTCTGCCAGATTTGGCCAACTCTTTTTTTGGCCACTAATTACTTGTTGGTAGTATGAGATCTTTCTTATGTAAACGAGTACTTGCGCTAACTGTTGATGTGCAAGTTATGCCTGCAATTTGACAATTAGGAAAATCGTGTTACTTTTTCCAAA